TTAACCTGCCAAAAACGTTTCGAATTTTGTTATTACTCAAAACTCCGCATCGACTCTGAAACAACTTGTTTCCGACGGAAATGCAATAACACAGAAAACTCATGTTTGATCAGCCATGCCTTGAACGCACTGTGTACGTTTGGATTGGGACGTATTAAAGAGAAACTTTTGAAACATTTCTGTACATATTTGTAAAACAAGCGAATGCGTTCGAAGGATGAATAGCCTGATGCAACTAATTGAAAGATACATGCAATTGATTAGTTTGCAACGGTTTGTTGAAACGATACGCTTCGATTTCCCGTTTCATTTTGAATTCAGTTTTGGTACGTACAAAATCCCGCTGTAGCTGGTCGAAATCACGGACATTATCCACCAGTTTACTGGTAAATTCGTATAACTTTGTTTCCATAACGTGGGCTGCAGTTTCCCTCGGTGAAATTTGAGCTTTCCTCAAAATTATGTGCTTGTTTATGGTCTTGTGTTCGCCACATATGTGATTGACATGTTATGTGGATGTTATTACTGCAATACATCTCACATTAGTATGCTTGTTTTTGTATTTTGGTTAATTGTTTATTATTTGAATATTTCAATGTGATGAGATATTATATTGGAAAGCACATTTTGAATATTTGGTGATGTAGATAAAATTTACTGATGTAGAAATTTATTTACTAATTTGGGAGGGAATATGAATGTGGATCATTTGATATCATTTTTAAAGAAATTTGAAATATGGAGATTTTAAAAGTTAGGAATTTTTAGAAGGCTTTTTAATTTTAATATTATGAAACTTTGCAATTTTTGAATTATAAAATTTTCAAACTTTGGAATTGCACAAACTAGAATTTCAAAGGCTTGATACCACAAACTGGAATTTAGAAGTAAATTTTGCAACTTTGCAATTTTGCAAGCTGAAATTCTGATGCTTTATGATTTTGCAAGTTGAAATTTTGATACTTTGGAATTTTGAAAACTAAAATTTGGATGCTTTATAACTTTACAAGCTGAGGTTTTGATGCTTTTGAATTTTGAAGCTTTGGAATTCTATAATTTTAAAGCTATATATGCTGAAATCTTCAAACTTTGGAATTCCACAAACTAGAATTTTAAAGTACTTAAATTTTAGAAGCTTGGTACCACAAATTAGAATTTAGAAGAACTTCAATTTTTCAACTTTGCAATTTTGCAAGCTGAAATTCTGATGCTTTATAATTTTGCAAGTTGAAATTTTGAAAACTAAAATTTTGATGCTTTATAATTTTACAAGCTGAGGTTTTGATGCTATGGAATTTTGAAGCTTTGGAATTCTATAATTTTAAAGCTATATATACTGAAATTTTCAAACCTTGGAATTGCACAAACTAGAATTTTAAAGTACTTAAATTTTAGAAGCTTGGTACCACAAACTAGGAATTTGAGGTACTTCAATTTTGCAACTTTGGTATTCTACAAACTAGAATTTTGAAGAACTTAAATTTTGAAATTTTGTAATATTAAAGCTTTAAAATTTTGAAATTTTCAAACTGTAAAATGTTACAGTCACCTAAGAAGTAAAGAGTCTCCAAATCTCCAACATCAGAAAATGGTATCTCTCCTGGAGTGCCACATCTGTTACACATCCTTGCACCACATCCTTATCCGTCCACTTTAGAAGCAGATACACAGTCGACATAATGTCTGAACTACTCAAAAGCGTATACGAGATATTCTACCACTATCCTATTTCCTCGAGTTTTGTTTGCGTTCGATGAGCCACACACGGCTTCGCGTTATTCTGCGAGAATATCATGGAAATTCAACATGGCGGTTGTAAGCCATGCCGTCGGACACGTTCCAATTGTTCGCGGCGAAGCTCAACGTTGATGGCCTGGAAACCACTGAAATATCCTGCATATGACCCAGATATTTCGCTGATTAAGCACCTGCTACGAGATACAAATTTTAAAATCCTTCAAGAAATTCTGCAGTCGCTTTTAGAACATTTTCTATCCCGGGATCAAGCTTCGTAGACGCGTTTCTTCGTTAATCTTCTGGAAGAACGGTGTCAAAAAGCAGTCTGATGGAGATTAGGTTACGTAACATTTCTTTATATTTGATGGTTCTGCTTTGTATTCTTATTTATAAATTATTATCTGATGTTTCTTACTTTATTTTTATAATAAAAGAATTATTAGGAAAAACTAAGTTTACTTAAAATATAATTAGAGTAAAGTTAGTGTGGCGGTTTCACTCCCACGCTCATCGCCACTACATGGCGCATAGAATCGAGACCTAGACTTTCTCGCTAGTACTCAAAGTACTAGCAAAGTACACAGTACCTTCCTATTCATATATATGTATAGTTCCTGTCCATCCCTTCTTTACATCCCCGCGTCTAAGGCAAGGGCCTGCTAAAACGCCTTACTGATGAGTCCACTAGCAGGTCCTGGACGAAACGTTCTCCCTCTCCTTTACTTTTCTTAGCTCCCCTACCATAGCTAGCTTAACCGCCAAAGTTAGAATACAGCAAAATTCATCTTGTATGAAATTTTTTATAATAACTGAAGATAATTAAGAAATTATTTTCAAGGTTATTTAAAATAATGCACAAATGTAAATTCAACTGTAAATAAAAATTGTCTAGGCCATTTACTTAAAATTCTAAGTTGATTGCTTCACTTGAAATTCTAAGTAAATATCACTTTATTAGGTGATTTGTGAATTGAGATGAATCTCATGTAAGTCTCGATTATGAATAAAATACAATTAATTTTAACTATGAGAAATTCAATAGTATAATAATAATACTTGTTCACATTTTTCACTTTAAAATAGATTATTTCACTTTCAAATAATAGATTATTTAAAAATAATAAACCTTCATGTTGAAAGGTTATGTAAGGCAGAGTAAGAAAAGTAACATCTTTACATTTGACCTATTTGCCACCTTTCGAAGATACAAAAACCAGAAAGTATGTTTATCGGTCTATCATTTGACCCAAATTGAGATCCGTAATAAACAGCCAAAGAACTATATTTTTTCGTAGTTACCTCCTTCCTGACCACCAGATCGAAAGTAACATTAATCATTTTGTGGAGAATTAAGTAAAAATACTTTTTCTAACGCCAATTTATAAGAAACGATAACAAGAAGTATTTAAATACACATATTGTAAGTCTTATGATTGATGGTACATGTTTCGGTTACAAAAGGCACCTCCACATTGTCTTTCGGCGCAGCGTCCATTGACGACCAAAGCAAAAGACACTCTATAAAACAACGCAGTGCCTATAAAGTAATGTTTAGGGCACTCACAGAGTCCGATTACAATACTATATTTTAAGCAACGATAAAAACAATACCTGTACATTTAAATAACGAAAAATAGAACGCGTAACTAGCTTCGAGCATTTCTTTGGTATCGAGTACGTGGTTTATTTATCTATTCCCCATTACAGTTATGACGCGTATAATACATCATCCTTGGTACAGTTTTTACAGTTTTTTTCGTCCCCATAGCGACACGTTTGGTCGTCCCCAACCGCGTTTTCCAAAACAGAACGTAACCTATAAACTGTACATGATTTATAGAAATTAACCGTAGGAACTTGTAAAGATATCTGAGAACGCTCTAACTAGTGATGGGTTTAATACGAATAGCTTAACTATGAATATCAATGAGAGAGTCGAGATAGTAGAAAACTTGAGTGATCTGAATTAGCGATTCGGTTTAACCTCTTCATGTCTTGGTATCGATTAATGGAACAGAGCAGTTATTTTCATGCAGCTTTGAAAATTGAATTGTTTAAAAGCGTCTGTGGAGAAAGAGGTGTTACTTTTATCACATCTTAACTTTTGTCCTTCCTTAAAGAGTGCATCTATTTATCTTCTGCACGATTCTTGTTATGATGTTGATCAACGGAACAGAACAAATATTGAAACTATGAAAAACGAATTGTTTAAAAATGATTGCAAACAAGGAAAAGATGTGTTATTTTCAACAATTATTTTTGTCCTCGTTCTCCTCTACTTAAATCTAGCAATTTACGTAAATTACTTATCTTGAAAAATAGTAATAGAAATTTTTAGTCAGTTGTTTGGAAATTGAACTGTAAAATGCAGAGTATAGCAATGGCGCATGAGTCTACCCGCTTTAACACGCCTTTAAAGACGATGTAGATATGTGTCCCCTAAAAGCCTTTCATTTGCAGAATCGAATAATTCCGAAACCCGGAGGACTACCTATAATTTGTAATGTAAAGTCAATATATGGATATTGGTAATTTCCAGTAAATATTAATAGTGTGATGATTGAAGACGGTCTGACATTTATGTAGAGTTATGATAACTCGATAATATTAAATGCTTTGTATTATTCTATGTAGAGGTGAATTACAGTGGAAATTAGGGTAAAGGTTATCCTAAAGAGTGTTTCTAACATTGTTATATAAAAATAAGTAGTTGTAGAGTTTTTTCTTCTCCAAAATTTTAGAAACTTTTTTACTACGTGTTTGCAACGATTCCTTGCTGAAAAGTCACCAAATTTTAAATTTCCACATTTTCGAATGATCAGACTTCTAAATTAAAAAATCACTTTAAAAGCTTGAGACTGAAACATTTGTCACTTAATCAAATAGAAACTTTGTGTCTTCATTTTGCAAATAGAAACATAAACAAAGTCTAAATTTTTTTATTGGTACTATCGATCTTTCTGTACATTCTGTATAAGCTATTAAAAACTAACATCAAAAGAACCAATAACGAAATATTTTGCCAGCTATTTACACAGAATGTTGTAAACAATTTTTCGATACAAACAAATCCCGTCAAAAAAGCGAAATTCAATATACCCGTTAAAACGTAATTGAACCTTTTATCAACGAATGGCTTTTTATATACACATACCTACGTTCGTTACACGTGAATTGAAAGCAGAACACGTGGTACAAATCGACGAAATAAAAAATAGAAAAGTAAGATAGAAAATAGCACAAGCAATATCATTCTTTTTCAGGCGGTGTCCGTTCTAGCGAGTGCATACACACTGGTCGCAATCAGTGTAGATCGTTACATCGCCATCATGTGGCCGTTGAAACCAAGATTGAGCAAACGGCAGGCTCAGTTTTTGATTCTTGGTGTTTGGATGCTTGCTATGGTTATATCTTTCCCGATCGCTGTCGTTTCGAAGCTGTCTCAGCCTTCGATGCAACATCAAAGATGTAATCAGTATATTTGCAAGGAAGTTTGGCCGACGATAGAAAATAGGTAATACTTATATTTACAAAAGATTCTTTGTCTATAAATTTATGAATTAAGAACACTTCTCTTTTCATAAAGAATTTAACTGTTATATGCATTTGACTGAATTATATGCATAAATATATTATAGTTTTAATGAGCCGAACGTAGTTTCAATTTGCGTTTAAACAACGCGTTTGAATTCCCCGCGCTTTCTACGCAATATGGCGGCGAAATTGCAGTGCCTCCACTTAAAAACTTTCGCGTCTATAAAATCCGCCTAAATGTAATTAAAATATATGTAATCAATATAGAATTTCTCTGTAATTTTGTAAAATGTTATTATTTATTTTTTAGGTAATTTTGAATGTTTCTTAACTTCTCTTATATCATTTACAACTATAAAATTGTAGAAAATTATAGACTTGATGGATCTAAACATTGTGAACTGCAAAGCAACAACGTTAATTAATTTTTATTAATACATACAAGTCATTGTTTGTGACTGTTATTGATTTTCATTAACTTTTACAAGTCGTTGATAATAACTGTCATTTATTTTTAGTAATATTTACAAGCTACTGATAATTGTCGTTAATTTTTATTATTTAATTACAGAGAAATTCTATATTGTTAAATATATTTTATTTACATTTAGGTGGATTTTATAGACACGAATGTTTAAGCGAAAGTATTCCTGTTTCACCGCCATATTGCGTAGAAAGCGCGGCAAATTCAAACGCGAAACTACTAATGCAACGATAGTCAAATTCTTTTAAAAAGAGAAGTGTTCTTAATACAATTACCTATATTACTACATTAAATTAATAATTCATTAATACATATTTTTAGTACAACTCGTTAATAACAACTGCTATTAATTTTATCAATTTGTTCCTTAATTTCTTAATTTTTTTTTAATTATATAACAAAATCAATGAAATAATTTATTTTGCAATAACATAATTGAATTTATTTATCGGCCCATAAAATTAAATAAAATAACATTTACACGAAATACCAACTTAACTATAAAATAACTATTTAAGTATTTAACTCATAAAAATTAGATCATTAAATATACATCATAAATAGCAAATGAAGTACTTATATGCAAGTAAAAAATAACTTTCGCTATGAAATTAAATCGCTTTTAAAATAGCGTTTACAAATTAACAGGTGCAAAAGTCACAAAGTTTAAAACAACTCTTACTTTTTTCATTATTCCCCTATGCAAAATAATACAGTTTACAGACGTGGAAGTAAGAGATGCAGAGGTGCGAAATCTGCGAAAGTATGAATAACGCTCATTAAGAATGAATACGAAATTCACGATGAACCAAACAGTGAATAGAGTCAAGTGATTGCAAAGAAACAAACACAGTAACAAAATATATCAAATGAGATTCGTAAACAAAAAGGCGCGTAGGTGCATAACAAATTTAATTTCTTCTTCCTCTTTCTGTTTTCGACAGTTATCTTCATTAAGGTTCTTTACTTTTTCTATTATTTTCTTGAAAAATTATACTCGCAGATAAAAATATTCTCCTTTCTTTGCTATGGTGAATAATTGTCAAAAGGTCATATTTAATAATATTTAATTTATTTTAATTTAATTTAACTTAATTTAATTTAATTTATTTTAATTTATTTTAATTTAACTTAATTCAATTTATTTTATTTTACTTTATTTTATTTTAGTTTAATTTAATTAATAATATTAATATTTAATTGTCACTCAACAGGTAAGAAAGCATATTCTACCAACACGTTTGGCAACAAGTCTAGCAAAATGTTTAATAAAATATTTGGAAACGTGTCTAGTAATATAGAAACTTGTCTAGTACCTCACCTTGTAACTTGCCTAGAAATTTGTGTAGCAACTAACCTAGAAACTTCGCTAGCAATTAACTCAGCATCTTACCTTTCGTTTTTTTGAAATGAGAGATTTTCATCAGAATTACGATACCTTATTGTAAAACTAAAGGCCACCAGAGTAATTACTGTCTCGAGTCTAGGGAATTGAGTTGCATGCAAGGACGACTGTTCGTTACATCGTGATTCACCCACGTGCTTCTGTGTTACAGGTATTATTACTCTATCGCGTTATTAGTTCTCCAGTACGTGATACCAATAATGGTTCTGATGTACACGTATACTAGTATTGCTGTTATGGTATGGGGTAAGAGGCCGCCAGGAGAAGCTGACAATGTCAGAGATCAGAGAATGGCTCGATCGAAGAAGAAGGTAAGTACCCTGTAATTCATATCAAACTTCTATATGAAATATTATTACATTTTCTACGTCTGTAAGATCTCGATATGAAGGAATCTTTCAGGTCTGAACTTTTACTCATATCGTATAGTTCGACTTTTTTCTTCTAAAATTAATTCAAGTAAATTTAAAAACTTGTAAAATTGTTACAAATAAATATGTCCCAAATAACATCGTATTTTTATATCGAATGTTTTATTGTAATAAGATACGCAGTAAACGGACGAGTGACACATCGAGTGACTTCGTTACTCTTCGGTGCTATTCGGGTAATCTCGCAAAATGGCTGACAATCGAAATCGTAGCTCCTACGCCTGAAATGATTAAATAAGTTATTACAAGTAAATATGCACCGAATAACGTCGTATTTGGTATTATTTTGATCAGGAAAATGGCACGAATATCAGGGAAAAAGTTGTATAAAGAAAAGAATAAAAATAAAAAAGAAACGCATTAGCACTGTAAAGAATACAAGTTTGACTTTGCAATCTTGTCACAATCACAGCGTCTTCTTTTCACTCACTATCCTCTATTCGAAACTTCAATGGAATTAATGAAGTTTTAATGAAATCAATGAAAACAATAAATGTAGTCCAAATTATATTGTGTTAGAAGAAAAATAACAATAATATTAATAATAAGAAAAATAAGCCTCAATAAACGACTTATCTTAACAAAATATGGTAAAATTAAATATGAAAGAAGTTTCTATCTTCTTTAATTTCCTTACTCGTGATCTTTCTATCTTTATCTATTCAATTGATTCAGTAAATATTTTCGAAATTATATCGTGTTTGGTCTCGTTTTAATCAGAAAAATGCGAAAAATCTAATAGTAAGAGTTTGGTAACATAAAAATCAGAAATAAAAAAATTTTATATTTGCACTGGTATTATCTCACGGGTATACTGGAGCCCGGATCATGTTACACTTCTCGGCAAGCGAGTTTCTGGACATTTCAAGGGTTCCTGTGATCATTTTTTGTCTACGATGAGATTCGCTTATAGGGACTTCATTATGTGACGTATTCACAGGGTTCATACTTCGGCCGCTAGGTGGCCGACCGAGAGTTGTCGTTCTCGTAATTCCCATAGATCTCTGCGACTACTAATCTACTTAGTCTACAAATTTTTCGTTTTTTTTTTCAGCAGGTAAGTCAATTAGAGCTACCTAATTATTACTATTAAAGTAAATAAAAAATATTGAAATATTAGGTACGTTTTGGATTAAGCGATCTGAAACACTGAAACACTAAAAATAGTTCTCAAATTTAAAAATTTAAAAATTCTCTTATATCGAGGCTTCACTGTACATTTTCTTTTGATACGATATTGAAAAGTAAACAATCTATTATAATTATAAATATGAAAATTTTTGAAATGACTTTTGTACAATAATATCAGTAATTTAAAAATGCAGATAGACATAAAAATATCCAAGCGTCATATAATAGTATTATCGATGTAAGATGAGAAAATTAATGCAAAGGACATAAAACAGGGAGAAATATTTCGTCAAAGTTACTGTTAGCATACTTTCCAGCAGATGTCCGCTATTAAAAGGAAGTTCTAAAAGCATGGTAACATTCTCAAAGCACGGTTCGTTACTTACACAGCTCGAGGAGAAAACTGACGACACTTTGTGCTTGTTTTTAAAAATGACATCAGTTTACAAAAGTTTCTCGCATAGTTCACTGGGGTGAAGTGTACACATTTATCTTGACATCTTCTGCTATTATTAAGACTTTAACGCGGTAAATCAGAACGTGAAATCACGTGAAAAATTACTCGTCCAGAAATTTGATTTCCGTAGAATATTTCCACGAACGAATATGCAATTTCGTCGAAGAAAAATGCATATCAAGTTTTTAGAACTGGTAAAAAAGTAGAAAAATGGAGCAACTAAAATTTACCATTCGTATAAAACTCGTTCCAATTGTGACGCATTCTCTATAGGAATTTTATTCGGGAAACTATGTCCGTTTTTGACGAGACGTTTTCATGGAAACGCATTCCTAGAAATGTTGGGAACCATTAGTTTATACAGAGCCTCTGTGAAAAACGCGAGAAAACGTATCCATAAAGGAAACATTACGCGAAGTCTAAAAACACTTTCCGAGAGTAATCTGATTAAATCTGAGGACTTACGTTTGCACTTACGTCAGACGCATATAACAGCGATGATAAAATGGTACTTTGTGAAATTGAGCCAAAAGATACAGTAGCAAACGTTGTTTTCATTCGAAACTTTCCTTTTTCCACTGAAAGGAAATATAGCTCGAGTTAAAATCTTGAGAATTCAAAAGGCACTTTATATTGACGGTCCTACATATATGCATGTGTGTGCTTTCTGTGCGCACAGTTGCCTTTGGGAAATTGAAAATTTATGATTTTTAGATACAGTTTTTTTTAGTGAGTTTACTGAATTATTAAACTGAGTTTAGATTTTTTTACGAATTTATTTATCTGTACTTATTTATTTATTTACGAGCTTAAAAATTTATAAGTTTCTAAATTTACAAGTTTACAAGTATACAAATTTACGAATTTACGAATTTACGAATTTACGAATTCACGAATTTACAAAGTTGCAAATTTACAAATTTACGGATTTACAAAGTTGCAAATTTACAAATTTACGAAATTACGAATTTACAAAGTTCCAAATTTAGAAATTTACGAATTCAGAAAGTTCCAAATTTACATATTTACGAATTTACAAAATAGGAAATCTGCAAACTTACAAATGTGCCAAATTGCAAATTTACGAACTTACAAAGTTGCAAATTTACAAATTTATGAATGTACAAAGTTGCAAATTTGCAAAACTGCAAATTTACACATGTCCAAGGTTGCAAAATTACAAATTTACGAATTTACAAAATTGCAAACTTACAAATTTACGAATCTACAAAATTGCAAATTTACAAATTTACGAATCTACAAAGTTGCAAATTTACAAATTTACGAATCTACAAAGTTGCAAATTTGCAAATTTACGGATCTACAAAGTTGCAAATTTACAAATTCGCAAAGTTAAAATTTACACATTTATAAATTTACAAAGTTGCAAATTAACAAAATTGCAAATTTGATAATTCACAAATACAAATTTACAAATCTACATATTGACAAATTTAAAAATATAAACATTTGCATACGCAATAAATCAACAAATGTACATATTTATTTATTCATCAACAAATTTGCAAGTTTGCAAATTCACATATTTAGGAATCTACATATTTAAAAATTCATGTATTTACAAATTTACATATTTATTTATTCATTTGCAAGTTTCTAATTTTTTAAATATTGCAGATTACTAAATTTACATATTTATTTTTTTGTTCATTCATTTACATATTTACAAGTTTATGTATTCACAAGTTTTAAATTTACAAGTCTAATATTATAATCTCTTTTTTGGTACATGTATGAAATAAATGTATATTTATATAAAGTATATAATGCATGTATTTATTTGAAAGATATGATATGTAATTATATAAAACATATGGTGATATATAATTGTGTTAAATATATAATGATATGTATTTATTTATTACATATGATATACATGTAATTATATAAAACTTATGATATGTAATTATATAAATCATATGATGATATATAATTATGTTAAATATATAATTATATGTATTTATTTAAAACATGTGATATGTAATTACATAAAACATATGGTGATATATAATTATGTTAAATATATAATGATGTGTATTTATTTATAACATATGAAACATAATTATATTAAACACATGATGATACATAATTATGAAAAATTTATAATAATATGTATTAATGTTAAACATATGACACACAATTACATAAATCATATAATAATAAATAATTATATAAAATATATGACAATATACACTTACATAAAATATAATAAATTCTTTCTAAATAATTTTTAAATAAACATGCACTATAAAGGATAAAAATGAAAAAACTGGTATTATACAAGATAGTACAGCCTTGTTCCTTAAACGATTTGGTATATAATTCTCAAGATCTTTGGTGACTACATAAATCCAGGATACGTTGCAGCCGGTACCAATGAATTTCCGGCAATAAGAGAGAGAAAAGACACGTTCAATCGACTTTATCCTGCAATATAGCGTGCCATCCCATTTCCTTGCGACGATAAATGACTCAAGGTGGCCGTAATACAACCAGGGTATATCCTACGCAGTTTCATTTGGCAATTTGGAGAACAGTTACCGTAAAATACTTGCTGTAAGTAGAATTTCGGCGGCCATCAAGGTCAGTCGTAATACAAAGTAGAGCTTCTACTACGTGACAAACTTGTGAAACAAGAAATGATAAAAGTACCTCTATGTTTTCGCTACTATTTGACGAGATATCATTTATTAAATAATTCAATTTTAATGATTTATAGAGCAGTTGAAGTTTATCAGAAATAGTTTGTTATTTACATGATAGTATTGTGGGAAATGTTTTTAATCGAGAGATTTAAGCACACAGAGTTATTAGCATAATTTTTTATATTATTTTCGTAATTTTTTAATAGAGATTTAATTTTTATAAAATGGAATAGTATTTTTGTTTGTTAAATATTTTACAATTTGGGGATTTCGGGATTTGGGAAATTAAAAATTTGAAAAATATGGGAAATTTGATAATTTAGGAATTTGGAGATTTGGAGATTTGGGGAATTGGGGATTTGGAAATTTTATAATTTATGATTTTGAGAGTTTAGGGATTTAGAGATTTGGGGAATTAGAGGTTTAAGGATTTAGAAATTTGAGGATTTGATTGTTTAAAAGCTTAAAAATTAAAAAATTCTGATGTTGAGAATTTGGAAATTTCAAAATTTGAATATTTGTCAATTTAATAATTTATAGACTTGAAAACTTGAATACTTGGATACTTGAATACTTGAATACTTGAATACTTGAATACTTGAATACTTGAAAACTTCAATACTTGAGAACTTAAAAACTTGAAAACTTGAATACTTGAAAACTTGAAAACTTGAAAACCTGAAAACTAGAAAACTAGAAAACTTGAAAACTTGAAAACTTGAAAACTCGAAAACTCGAAAACTTGAAAACTTGAAAACTTGAAAACTTAAAAACTTGAAATCCTAAAATCTCCAAATCTTGAAAATTTGAAAATTGAAGTATTTATCAACTGAAAAATTTGAAAGCTCTAAAATTTCCCATCTCCAGAAATTAACCTTTAGAAACTTCTAAAACTAGTTCATCTGTTCCACTGTAACACGATTCATCTACTTTTCACCAAGATATCTTCTCACTCAAAATAAGATATCTTCCCTCTGGCAAAACTAGAATCAAAGCTGAAAGGTCCCCTGGTTATTTACCCAATTCTGAGTTTCCCCTCTCGCACAGCGAGTTTTGAATTTGAAAACAACCATAAAGGGGGCACGTTATGGACGAACTGCAGAAACCACTTCCCCACTATAATATAACTAAATCAGAAACATTTTCAAAATGTAGCAAAACTTAGGTCCAACAAATACAGAGAGCTAAGAAATTTCGATAAAATGATTCCCTCAGATATTAAACCAGAATGTGTAATATCTGGAGAGGATATTGATATCTCATTTCTTCTCGTCCTATTGAAAGTAGAAGTACTCTTATCCACAGACAATCTTTGGATTTCATTTCATATTGTGCGCAAGATACCCAAGATAAAGATAGGCGAGATATTATTTTTAGACGCTGCAGGCATTTTGATTTCGATATACTTGGCCATCGAATTAAGACATTATAAAATTTCACATTTGTGGCTATAATTATGTCATGTATAGAAAATCTTGGGTCATGCACAATTATTGCTAAATTGATAACGATACATTGCAATTCTATCGTGATAATAAATTGTGTGATGAGCGATTAAGGGCCATGCGTTTACGTTAGGAGTATCGATAACGCTAGTGGTGGAATTTGAATGCCACAGAAAATGTCTGCCTACTCAAAGGAATAGTTTACAACTCTCCAACCACATTATCTGAGTTGAAAAGAATTACAGATATTTGGGAAAATAATGAAGATTTAAAGTATGTGATCAATGTATACGAGGCATGCGGCTGTAACCAAAGCAAAGAAAATACAAGATATTAACATGGATTAATGTTATGTACAGTATCATGGTAGCTAATAAATAATATAATTACAATTTGGCCTTTTACGGAAAACGGGAACAATTCTGAAAATTTATAGTGGTTCGATGGCTAGGGACTGTACTGTATGGGCAGTGCATTGTGTTATAGTGCATCCTTTGTTTTGATCGTCAACCAATGCTATGTGGCTGTATTGGTAGCCATTATTATGATGTCCTTTGTAACCGAAACATGTACCGTCAATTCTACAACAAACGAATATCAAATTTTTATTAAATATTGAATATTAAATATGTAATAAAGATGTAAAGATATGACTTCATTTATCACTGATTGATTTGCTAATATACTGTATATGTGTATATATGGTCACTTTCCTGATGGGTTAGAATTGTGAAAAAATTATATAGTTTGATTACTTATCACAGAGAAGCTTTTGAGTCAATTTATAGGCTGATAAGTATACTTATAATTCTGATTTCTATGCCTTTAAAGGGGGATTAATAGAGCAACTACAAAAAATATTATTTTTATCTTCCTCCTATTTATTTGTACAGTTATGTCATTGAAGTGTTCTTTAGAGTGTGTATAAGGTACTATTCCATTGCTGTATAATTTAATAGATAAAATGGGGAGAGGTTAAATTGAGGTTATATTAGGTATCTTAAAACAAAATGGCTCCTAGTTGTTCAAAATGGCTGCTCTCAAACATTAATATTAACTAGTATTTTTGCTATTCTGAAAATTTATAGTGGTTCGATGGCCAGGGACTATATTTTGTAATGCAGTGACATGGCTACCATTTTGGATTATTATGAACATTTGAATAGGTTATTAGGATAAAACTCAATTGAGGTTAGGTTAAATAATAACAATAACAAAATTACAAAATGTACATAATTGATTATTTTAGCATCAATGAGATAATTTACATATTTCATTTTTGTACAGTGATAGAAGTAAAATCCATTACATAGATTCACTCCATAACGTGGCGTTGAACAACGCTCCAGCGGATCCTAAACCAAAAGGCTCTTCCGGACCTGTTTGAAGGCAGTACACACCTCTCCTGAAAAAATAAAGCGATAATTTATTGATTTATTGTCGAAAATAACAGTCAACGCTAGAGTAAACAGAATTAACAGCATTGAGCTGTTAAAATTACAAATGTTCCAAAGCGTCTATAATCTGATTAAAATAAATTTTGATGAAATGCATTTATTATTTCATTAAATAATTCTACCATTTTGTCCTTGCCTCTATTACACATCATTGAATTAATGCGAATTTGAGAAAGTAATACCAACGTTTCGGGTGATGTATAGTAGCCCATAATAGCCTTCTCACTTGTATTGCATGATCCAGTGGCGAAGGTCAAACTGCTCTGACATTTAACAGCTACGAAAGCATCTTTGTTCTTGAGTGATTCTATGAAGAACCTCCATGACCTATGGTGACTACAGAGCACTGCATTCCGACAATATACAATGAATAAAATTATCGATAAAAAGAGAAAAACACTACATATAATAAAAAACAGCTACACAAAATTTTATATTGTTTCACAAAACCTAATCTGCATGCACACCATATAATCCAGACACACGTCAAATTGTTAAATTTATTTACTTAGCAACAAATTAAAATTAAAATAAAATTTTACTGTTAACAATAAGTAAATAATTTAAACCTTGTTCTAAAGATGTCGTTGATAAAAAATAACATCCCGGTTGTGGTGCATGACCAAAATTTGGATAGAAGTCCACAGAGCCAGTGGGTAAAGCTAACCCGAAAACACCGGAGTCTGTATGTATAATGTCCACAAATTTGGCATCGGAAGCACGCAAATGAGGATACTTTAAGTAGTACAAGGGTCCAGCAGGATCCAAACCTGTACAAAATTGCAATCAATGCATAACTGACATACAAAGCTTCGTGTATCTGAATTTTAATCAAACACAGCGTCCGAAGCATCAAAATCGAGGAATGCTTCCAAAGTACCAGATGCGTTACAAAGTGTAAGTTAGTAATTTACAAGATATGTAATTTTAAATTTTCGAGAAGTTTTGTTGTCATTTGAAATTGAAATTCTATGTTCATTTACATTAAGTATATATTACATTTTCAACGGGAGTTGGACTGTTGGTTAAACGTTAGAAATGTACAGCAATGATCTTTGTGCGAGTTCAAATCTCCATTGAACATCTTCAAATTTCTTGTCTTCACATTATTTTTCAGTCGTTCGATAAATTATGGGATTGGTCCATTAATTATTCAATCGTCCGGTTAAACTAACATTTGACATGTTTAATAAGAAACATGCGTTCCAAAGAAAAGTCTAGTAATCAAATTATGAATCTCCAATATCCTCCAAAGATTACCTCTGTTTTTCAAAAATTAATTCAATTACAGAAAATTGATGTGTCATCGTGTTACTAGTAAAATATCCCACATTCCTGTCTTTTTTTTCATCTCCATTGTATTCAAGGAAAGCATTAGTTCATATGACCTTCAACACTCTGCATATTCATCGCCCAAAGTCTCCACGAAGGACGCTTAGGCAATTAAATTGTAGAGTTATCAAATTGCTTAACAAAATGCTAAATAACTTGAAAGTATCGTTATCTACCTGTTATTCTAGTAAGTTTGAATTTTAGACTGCGGCCAATACATCCAGCAAGCTGAGCTCCTAACGAGTGACCAATGATATGTATGCTTTTAGCATTCACACCTGCTTCTACCATTTTCTCTATACTTTTAGCTACCTTGGCACCAACAGCCGGAACTATTGCGACAGACAACGGGTAAAACAATAAAGCTGCTCTTCTATAATCTACTGCAATTATGTTGGCCGTTGTGTATTTTAAGAGGGCTGTAACAATTAATTTGACAAAGTTAAATTTGTAGAAATTGATTGTGGGAGAGACTTTTATGTATGATTTTATTTGGTAGTTTGGAAGGGGGGAAATTTAGGGATTTAAGGAACTTAGAAGTATAGGGATTTGGTGATTTTTGGGATTTTTGAACATGGTAATTTGAGAATTTGAGAATTTGGAATTTTGGGAATTTGGGAATTTGGGAGTTTGGGAATTTGGGAATTTGGAAATTTGGGAATTTGGGAATTTGGGAATTTGGGAATTTGGGAATTTGGGAATTTGGGAATTTGGGAATTTGGGAATTTGGGAATTTGGGAATTTGGGAATTTGGGAATTTGGGAATTTGGGAATTTGGGAATTTGGGAATTTGGGAATTTGGGAATTTGGGAA